TCCTCAAAAAATTAAAAATAGAACTATCCAATGACCCAGCAATTGTATTACTAGGTATTTATCAAAGGGATATAGGTGTGCTGTTTCAAAGGAGCACATTCACCCCAAGGTTTTTGTCAGCTGTATAGACAATAGCCAATGTGTGGAAAGAGCACAAAGCCCATCAACAGATGAATGGATAAAGAAGATGTGGTATATATACACAATGGAGTATTACTAGGCAATGAAAAAGAATGAAATCTTGCTATTTGCAGCTATGTGGATGGAACTACAGGGTATTATGCTAAATGAAATTAGTCACTCAGAGAAACACAAATATCATATGAATTCAGTCATATGAGGAATTTAAGATACAAAACAGAGGAACATAAGGGATGGGAAGCAAAAATAATATAAAAAGAGGGTGGGAGGCAAAACATAAGAGACTCTTACATATAGAGAACAAACAGAGGGTTGTTGGAAGAGTTGTGGGGGCAGGGGCAGGCTACATGGTTAAGGGGCATTAAGGAAGACATTTGTTGGGAGGAGCACTGGGTGTTATAAACAGAGGATGAATCACTGGAATCTACTCCTGAAATCATTGTCACACTATATGCTACTACATTGGATGTAAATTTAATTAATTAATTAAAATATATAGAGCTGCAATTGTAATAATGGTACTGTCAAATTGCCTTCCATAAATATTGGAGGGCAATTCCTACCAGAAATATATGAATGCCTTTGTCATTGTCTTGCCAATATGTCAACCTTTGACATTTGTCAAGCTGATAGCTGAAAAATAGTATTTAATTTTATTTTTAATTTACATTTCCCTTAGTAGGAAGTTTTAAAAATTTTCATGTTTAAGACACATTTGTATTTTTATTTTTTGTGAATTGTTTACTCAAATTACGTTGATTCTTAAAAAACAAACAAAAAACTACAACTAGAACAACCCTATCACCCAGCAAATGCAACACTAGGTATTTATCCTAAGGATACAAAAATGCTACTTCAATGGGGTAATTGCACCCCAATTTTTATAGCAGCACTACCAACAATAGCTAAATTATGGCAAGAACCCAAAAGTCCATCGAATGTCGAATGAATAAAGAAGATGTGGTATATATATGCAAAGGAATATTACTTGGCGATCCAAAAGAATGAAATCTTGACATTTGCAACAAGGTGGATGGAATTAGAGGGTATTATACTAAGCAAACTAAGTCAGAGAAAGACGAACATCATATGATTTCACTCATAAGTGGGTTTTCAGGGTAAAATGGTGACCATATGGGAAGGAAAAAAAAAATAGAGATACACACGACAAGAGACTCTTAGTGATAGAGAACAAACTGAGGGTTGGTGGAGGGGAGGTTTGTGGAGGTATGAGCTAATTGGGCAAGGGGCATTGAGGACGGCACTTGTTAGGCTGAGCACTGGGTGTCGTATACAGGTGATGAATCACTAAATTCTACTCCTGAAATCATTATTACACTGTATGTTAACTAACTTCTATTTAAATAAACATAAAATAAAAATCAGAGAGGGAGGCAAACCATAAAAGACTCTTAACTACAGTAACAAACTGAGGAGGTGGGTAGGGGATGGGCTAAATGGGGGATGGGAATTAAGGAGATTACTTGTTGGGATGAGCACCGTGTATTATATGTAAGTGATGTATCACTGGGTTCTACTCATGAAACCAATATTACACTGTATGTTAACAAACTTGAATGTAAATGAATACATTAAAATATATTAAAAAAAAAACAAAGTTACTGAGAATTTCAAGATGATAAGAAAAAAGCTTTAAATGTGTGGGGACTGCAGTCACATGCCCATGACGCTGACCATATAATAAAAGAATATTGAGGACAATTTTGTTTTGACTTGAGGACGAAAATGACTTATAAACAAGACCTCAGAGAGACAAAACATAAAGAGAAAATGTGCTAGGCATGACTTCATCAAAATATCAGATTTCTAGATCTGTGGGAACTGTAGATAAAATTGAGGTGGGCAGTATTTTGTGGGTTTTTTTTGTTTTTTTTTCTGCTTTTTTTTTAATTTATATATGAAATTTATTGTCAAATTGGTTTCCATACAACACCCAGTGCTCATCCCAAAAGGTGCCCTCCTCAATACCCATCACCCACCCTCTCCTCCCTCCCACCCCCCATCAACCCTCAGTTTGCTCTCAGTTCTCAACAGTCTCTTATGCTTTGGCTCTCTCCCACTCTAACCTCTTTTTTTTTTTTTCCTTCCCCTCCCCCATGGGTTCCTGTTAAGTTTCTCAGGATCCACATAAGAGTGAAACCATATGGTATCTGTCTTTCTCTGTATGGCTTATTTCACTTAGCATCACACTCTCCAGTTCCATCCATGTTGCTACAAAAGGCCATATTTCATTTTTTCTCATTGCCACGTAGTATTCCATTGTGTATATAAACCACAATTTCTTTATCCATTCATCAGTTGATGGACATTTAGGCTCTTTCCATAATTTGGCTATTGTTGAGAGTGCTGCTATGAACATTGGGGTACAAGTGCCCCTATGCATCAGTACTCCTGTGTCCCTTGGATAAATTCCTAGCAGTGCTATTGCTGGGTCATAGGGTAGGTCTATTTTTAATTTTCTGAGGAACCTCCACACTGCTTTCCAGAGCGGCTGCACCAATTTGCATTCGAGGTGGGCAGTATTTTGAACGAATGGACCACACTGCAGTTAGCTGCAGAACTGGACTCAGTTTGAACACCAGTTGCACAATTTATTACAAAGCAGGGACATTCAATGGCAGGGAAATAAGTTGACAGTACACTCTGAGCATTCTCTCCACACTCAAGTGTCAACAATGTGAGACAATGGAAACATTCATGATATTCATGGTGGTGGTCATCCCACCACATATATGAAAGTCAAATCACACTGTACACTTGAAACATATACAACTATACTTGCCAATGACTCCTCAGTAACATTGGGAGGAAACAGCAAAATTACTTAAATCATTTGACCTCCCCTTTTCTTATAACTAGGAATGATTTTAGTACTTCTCATGCTGGGTGATTGGAAGAAAAAAATGAGCTAATGCCTGTAAGAAACTCAGAAAAACGAGCACAAAGTAAGTGTTTTTTCGATTCTATTTATAGCATATGCTTGAACAAGGAATATTATTTTTAAGTTTATTTGTTTTTTTGAAAGAGAGAGAAAGAACATGAGCATGGGGAGGGCAGAGAGAGAGGAGAGAGAGAGAATCGAGAGTGGGCTTTGATCTGTTACTGTAGAGCTCAAAGCAGGGCTCCATCTCACAAACTATGAGTTAGGGACCTCAGTCAAATTCAGGAGACAATTGCTTTCACAAATACACACAGGCATTCTTTGAACAAGGAATTTTCAACGTGTGAGACATACGATAAATTCCTTCAAAGCAACAATAATGGATCTCAACACAAAGACGGGCAGGGTACAGGGTGTTTAGAACTGTTATAAGAAAGTTTGCATGGATGTCAGACTGCATATATTCCTGGGATGAGGCTCACAGAATATTCTCACCTAAAGGTTGCAGCAACAAGAGAGGATACACAAGGAGAGACCAGCCTCATTCCTTAGAGAAAGA